GTATTTCTCCTTCAGAAGCTTACTGTGACATTTATTGAGAATTTCACCACGATATTCTTTACACTTCCAGATATACCTGGACGATGTACACGCTGTGCGAGGACTGGCTACCTCATCTGTGAAGCAATCACGAACAAGGTAATAGAGAAATTCTTTAAAGTTAAAATGCCAATTATTCAACGTTCGATCAGACTTCTGATCAAACATTGTTTTTAACTTCTCCAGTTCCAACCTAAAAATATCAGTTCTCCTTACTAAGTTTCATACATTTCTGTTATTGTTATTTCTGAGATTTTGGGCTACATCAAGACAATATCTGTAATTTCCGATTTTCTTTATTCTTGTCACCGATCTTTTCGTCAGCGTGTTAGAGGGGAGGGGTTAGTGGGTGTGGGAAGGGGAATGGTACCCAGTGCAGAGGGAGGCAGTTTGGGAGGGGAAGGCTTCTGCTCGGAAGTACAGGTTTAACAGTTTCACATCAGGACTAAAAGTTGTCTCGAAGGAAGTGAAGAAAAACCTGAAAAGCCTAAATGACCAGGTATCGCCTTTGTTGGATTTGCGGACGCCTTTTTTGAAATCTTGTGAACAGCTTTTCAAATTTTGTAAACTACCTTTTTGAAAATGATAACTGCCTTTTCTGAAGGTTAAATGCAGTCTTTTCAAACTGATGGTCAAGGTAAGACAAAAGCAAAGGAATTGCCGTGCGGAAAAATATCAATTGTACGACCACCAAGCAAAATAAAGTTGAATAGTTGAAAGAAAAATCCGGCACATGCCTAAAGATGCATGGCAATGTCTTGGTAGCTCTTTTCCAACATATGGCCGTGGGCGGTCTTCTTACTTGTACTGTTTCCAAAATGTGATCGGTGTAGAACTTGAAGAAAGGAAAGGTTTGATTTGCTGCTGATGGTCAATTCATTCACTATGATTGTGACGCCTCTTTTGATAGTTAACAGAAACCATGCAGACGACGTCTTGTTTTGAAAAGCTGCTCTGCGGAAAGTCTTTGGCTTTTATGACAGTTTTGATTGAGCATCTCGACTTTTTCTGCAGGGTTAGCATTCTTACACTACGACAATTTACAATCAGTTTAGCGATTTTTGCAATGCTTCTTTGAATAATGGACTCTTTCGGCGATACGGCGGCCATTTTGAATTTCGTTGTGATATGACGTCATAAATGAGGGTGCCGTCGCCCAAAATGAATTTTACCAAATGGATGTTTCCGACTACGTAAACGTATGATTGACATAGCTTAAGTACTTAGAAGGGGAGGGATGGGTTTTTGCTCCTTCCCCCGTCTCCGGAAAAAGAATACATTGTAGATTTCAAACATGACGGTAACTTTTACTTCACTACAGTCATCAGATACTCGCATAGAAACCGTTTGAATAATGTCTATCTTGAGTTTACAGACCACAAATAATTCAGATAAGTTTTTCTACTAATATAAACTCTATTTCATGTTTAAAAATGGTGGATTTAAGCATAGACATGTTTTGCATAGAGCTTTTTAGTGAAATTTAGTATACTAAGCCTTTAAATTTTGAATTTTTTAGACCTCTTTTGAAATGTTGTAGAGGATACTTTAAAATTTTCTGTGAGTTATATCCGTACCCGGTTATGCCATGAAAAGCTTCTTTTTAAAATGGCGAATTTCTATTGATGGTCGCATGAGCAGCATCAGAAATCTTCCAGGTTACAGAACAGGGAAAAAGAAACATTCTTATTACAGCTTTGTTGTGTTTTTCC